AAAAAAAAAAAGAGGAAGAAAGAAAGAAAGGAAAAGAAACGAGAGGGAGAGAAAAGAAAAAAATGGAAGACGGATCCCGTTCGCCCCCGCAACTGGAAGAGGCGTCGAGAGATGCCCGTTTCGATAATACCTGAGACAATGACCGACCGGCATCGTTACTCGGCTGAAAACGCGCGCACTCGCGGCGACAACGACGACGACGACGACGACGACGACGACGACGACGACGACGACGATGGCGAGGACACTCTTACACCTGGAATCAATTTATCAAAGAACGAGCGGCGAGGTGGCCAACGTGGTGAGCGTCGTCAACTCAGAATTCCAAGTTCTTTCGCGTACGTATTGTTGCAGCCCGGTAACGATGCTGGCTGGCTGGCTGACGTTCAATGGATGGAATCGAGGGGAACGGTTTCCTTCCCGCTGCGACCGCATCGTGCTCCTCATGCGCGATACACCGCCACCGTCTCTTCCCTCTCGATCGATTTATCAATCCGCGCAACGATCCCGTTTTCCCCGTTCGTCTCTGAAAACACGCAGTTTCGTCGACGTCCCTTGGAAAATTTTTTAGAGAAAACGCGTCTCGGAGGAGTTCGCTGATTCTTGGAGAACAATACTTCGTACAACGCGAGATACCTACAACATTTTTTGCATCATCTATCAGCAATTTATTTACGACCTAGCGAGCGTATAATTACGAAACAATCCTGTTCAAATGGTATTTAGAAATTTTGTTGATTATACTTCTCGAACCATCTAATGTGCATTGTAAATCTGAGCAATGTATAGGAGTAAAGCTTTTATAAACTTTCGAACGAAGCGATAAGAGGATGAGTTTGTATGAATTATTCCGAATTATTCGAATCATTCCTGTTCTAGGAAAATTTCTTCTTCTGAAATTCTTTTTACTATTATATATTATCATTATATATAACAGACAACATGTACCTACGTTCGTTATAATTATCAGCAATTATCAAAAGAGAGAGTCCGAGCAGTTAGCTAGATCTGAGCACAATGGTCCCCTTAGAAGAGATCGAGCGCACAGGCATCGAAAATTACAAATCCAAACCGCTTCGGGGGCGTTACTCCAGAAAGCTTCTAGTAGCGTGACGATAGTCTAGCCAGTGGTTGTTCTAACGATTCCTGAAATAAGACGGCAAAATAAGTCGACGAAAAAGACTTTCGATCGAGAAACGGCCAGAGGAGGCGCGACCTTTAACAGCGCGGTTTCTGCGCGATCCTGAGATGCGGCCCGGTGATTAAGTCACTGTTTAAGGGGCACGTATCGTGTGGACACACGCGTGTACAGGTCGGTGGGTCTCGGATAACGAGAGCATGCCGAGAGAGGAGAGTGAACGTCGTACACATCGCCGGTCAGAGCTCGTTAGGCGGCCTACGCGGTTCACGCGAGTTAGCTGCGGCGCGGTTCTGTTTCTCTTCTTCTTGTTTCGTGCGCGCGCGAACGGACCTCGCCCGGCTGTCCGTCACCGGCCACCAGCCTCCGACAACAACCTTCGTCGCCGGTCCATGCCGTTTTCGCCGTCCTCTCGCCTTCTGACGCGACGTTAATGACCGTTTCCACTATCGAGAATCCACCTTCGAGATGTTATCATACGATGCGAGTGATTCGTAGACGATCGCGCGGCGCTGCGCTGCGCCGTACGGCTTCGCCTCTAAAGTGTGACGGACTCCGAGGATGAGACAGCCATTTAGAAAATAATCGGCCACTGTCTTCAGTTTCTCTAACGACCCCTACGTATCGACGCTCTAACGTAACTTTTCTTCT